GAGAATCGAAACGCAGAAACCTTCACTGTTGTTTTAATAACCATGATTAATGAATATCAAAGGGCTTTACATTTTTCTTTTTTTATCTTATTCTAAAATTAAATACTAATTAAAATAGTCATTTTTACAGACATTGTAGAACAGGAAAGTAGTGCATGAAATTGCAAACCTATTGTGTAGATTTTATTTTACTTTAAAATTGAATTATATACTTTAAAATAAATTAAAGTTGATTTATATACTTTAAGATGAGCCTTCAAGTGCTTATTAAGTGCTAGAGACAGTGCTAAGAGTTGGGGATACAAATACAAGCTATTATTATTGTTATTATTATTATTATTATTATTATTAAACTTATCAGTGGGAATCTATGAGCTGTAATTTCAGAAGTATGGATCTACTGAGGTATGAACCTGAGGTATCCATCCTGTGGGGGACATGACCAGTAAATGCAAGTAGGAGGTAGGTTGCCCCCACCATGCTGCATGTGTGAGTACTAAGATATATATTATGCGTATATGTACAATATATGTATGTACAAAAGCATGTAAATGATATACACAGAAACATCCATTTATAAAACATATCTAGAATACATGGGAACAATAGCAAAGGTAACATACTAGACACACACAAACTTTTTTTCAAACATACATGCATTTAGCTATAACAATGCAGGAAAATCTGGAGAGCTTACATAATGGAGATTATATTTGCAAAATGGTTACTTTCAGAGACATTTAGCAAATATTGAGAAATTTTTGTTACTTATAACTATTAAAGTGAAGATTTAAGCCATATCTTTTGCTAGAGAACATTCTTGGCTCACTTATCTTGTATCTATCTACACTTGTAACGGACATTAAAACATTTACTCTGTTATTTTTCCATTTTGAAAATTGATTTCAGATGCAAGTGTTTTGTTGTTTTGGAGACAGATGACAACATGGTAAATGTTTCTACTTATGTTTTAATAATGTATTTCTACTCTTATTTTTAACAACTGAATAGTAATTGTTAGTGAATGGCAATGAATAATAGCCCAATTCTAGCACAATCATGTTCCCAGTAGGAAGAACACAATAGTATTTCAAATCTTACTGGATCATCAGTGAAAGAGAAGCTGCTGCAATGGTTACACACATTGCCTTAACTCTCATATAGGCTTGATACTACTATTTTCAAATTATTTTACTAACACAAAGTTAATCCAAACCAATTAAAAAAAAATACCAGCTAACACACCCTAGTGCTTAAACTGGACAATGCATACTAAATTGAGAGGTTGGACAGTGCTGTCTCTCACCTTTTCCCACAGTAGCCCTACCACACTGGTTTGCCACACTTTTCCTCAGAACAGGTGAGAAGGGGGCACTGAATGTCAACAACCAACTCGCTTTCAATTCACCAGGATCCAGACATCCTACAATCATTTTTCTCTAGATTCTCTGCCCACCATCACAGGTGCCTTTTCATTCACCTTTGTTGTTTGCCTTTCTGCCTAATTCTAACAGATAATGAAGTGGATACGTACTATTAGTTCTAAATATTATTGATCATATTCCTCTTATAAACACAAAAGCACAGAGCCTAATATCCACTAGAAGTGATGTTAAACCAGTGGTATGAATTATATGCCATACACAGATTCATCCATCCATTGGCATTTGACAAATATTGATTGAATCAGTATATGTATGTGTCTATGTATATGTATAGAAGCCACTCTGCTTGGGGCAGTCAAATCAAGATATGGGCCAGTTTTTAAAAAGAGAGAGAGAGAGAGAGAGAGAGAGAGAGAGAGAGAGAGAGAAATGAGACATATGAATCCATAGGCCTAAACATGAACTTTTACAAAATGCAGGTGTAAATTTCTTTGCTAGCTACTTTGCTCCTCACTCCTCATTCCCCTATTCCAGATAGGTAAATGGCTACCTGCCTCCATCTGCAGACCCAACTCTACTGTGAGACCAGTTCTAGTCTTAAAGAGGAAGCATAAAAGGAGTCTTTGCTTTACAAAGCCCTTTCTTCACTACAAAGCTCTATTGCATCTACAACTTCACCATTCCTTTTATTTATACCCTTCACCTATCTCTTGTTGCTTAGATTATTCTGAGTGGGTTCCTGATCCCTGAGTACTGCTACCTTAACTACCTGGAATCTGGATCCCTTGCCTGTTCACTTCTACAATAGGTGCCTGGCTGTCCCAGCTTTGGCAGATATCCATGGACTTGACCCTTTGCCTGCTTAGATACCGACTACTCTTTCCAGTCTTTCATGACCCAGAGCTGCCTAATTTATCATACCTGCCAGTCTAGCTGAATTCTGGATCTGATATGTCCTATTCAGTTAACACCTTAGTCTTCATTTGATGCATTAGCTATATCAGTAGGTAAGTAGGTGGAAAGAGCTGGTGCCAATTTTGCTGATGAAAGATTGTGCAGGCTGATATATTTGTTTGAAACTCTCAAAAACTGTTTTAACCTAAAGGACCAGCTACCAAATGGCTGGGGGGAGGGGGGAAGGGAAAGTGGGAAGAGAGAAAGAAATTTTAAAAAAGGATAAAGTAAAAATGAAACAACCCTAAAGTGAGTGACTGTTATTATATAAAGAACAATGAATAGTCAGTCAATAAACATTTATTAAGAATCTACTGTGTGAGGGGCAGCTAGGTGGCACAGTGGATAGCGTACTGGCCCCAGAGTCAAGGGGACCAAATCCAGCCTCAGACACATAATACTTCCTAGCTGTGTGACTCTGGGCAAAGTCACTTAACCCCAATTGCCTCACCAAAAAACTAATAATAATAATAATAATAATAATAATCTACTGTGTGTCAGCTACCATGCTGACCACTAGAGAGGGAACAAACAGTCTAATGGGGAGAAACGATATGCAAACAACTATGTGCAAACAAGTTGTATACAGGATAAATTATAGATAATCCACAGAGGAAAGGCACTAGAAATTAAGCTGGGTCAGGAAAGGTTTCTTATAGAGATGGGATTTTAGTTGGAACTTGAAAGAAGCCAGAGAAGACAAAAGGCAGAGATGAATAGGAAAAGTTCTAGGCATAGGGGGACAACCAGTGAAAATGCCCATTGTTCAGAGACAGGGTTTCTTGTGAAGGACAACAAGGAGTCCAGTGGCACCGGATTGCAGAGTATGGAATGAGTGTAAAGATATAAGAATACTGCAAAGATGGATGCGCAGCAGGTTACAAAGGAGTTCACGTGCCAGACAGCTTTTATATTTGGTCCTGGAAGCAATAAGGTGACAATGAAGTTTACTGAATGGGTACCAAAGAGAAGAAATGGTTAGATCAAATACTAAGATAGGAAATTTGGAACCAGCACTCTCATGTAGTAATAACTGTACATATGCTATCAAAAATCCAGAGTAAAATGATCAGTGATATTTTTATCACTGTGATTTCAGGAAGTGATGTCAAGAATATCTGATGCCTATTAAATACATTCAAACAAAATGAAGTAAATAATCAGAATTTGAAAATCTGTCTGTCTACATTTATGTCTCAGCAAATGCAGTTGCTAAAATGACTTAAAACAATTGGAAGTAACATTTAAAAAATGCATCACACCATTTGAATGTATCAGATAACAAAAACTGCTATTTTTATTTAATGTACTAAAACCTCTTAAATCCTAATTACTCTTACAGTTAAGAACTGTTATTATAAGAATTACCCCTGAACAATTAGTCAATAAGCTTTTATTAAATATCTAAAATAATATGCTAGACACAGCACTAGGCATAAGGGATACATAGGAAAAAAAAAAGTCCCTGCCCTTATATTCTATTGGGGCAAATAACATATATACATATAAGTAAATGCAAAAGCTCTACAAAGCAAATTCAATTTAGCTTGGGCAGGGAACACTGACAAGAAGCAATAGCAGCTAGAAGGCTCAGGAAAGGCCTAATGGAGAAAGTGGCACCAGTTCACCCTTGAAGATATTTTAAAGAATCTGACATTATTGAAATATGGATACCTAAAGGTTGAAAGAGACAATTACAAGGGAGACAGTGAGGGGGAAAAAATAAATTTGCAATAAATGGTGATATTGTACACTTTGCCCTGTAATTCTGAGGGTTGGAAAATCTTTTTCAAAGGACCAAAGTTAACTCTCTATGAACACTCTGAGCTCTTCAGGTGGTGTACTGCAGGGACTTGGAATCAGAAAGATCTGACTTCAAATCCTGCCACAACACTTACTGTGTGCCCTCCCCACCCCATGCAAGTCACTTAATCTCTCTGTATCTCAGTTTTCTTATCTGCAAAATAAGAGAACCTACATTTTTATAAGGACCAAATGAGTTACCATAGAGGGTGTCCCAACAGTCTAAGAGCAGTTTTAACCTAGCTTTAAATAGTTTAAAACTGCCATAAGACTTTTAGGACATTATGTATATAAAACTCTTTATGAACTTAATGCTTTATATAAATTCTAGCTATTATTTTTTTTGGTCAATCTGTTCACTTAATGCTTTGATGGGTTCAAAGAATCCATGTAGTCAAGACTATAGGACTGAAAATCTGCTTTGCAAAAATGCAGTTGGGCAAAATTTAACCACTTTGCTAGGATAAAAATATGGCTTATAACTCTAGTCATTTCCACTAGAAAAACACAGGGCCAATTATTGCGGTATGGGTTGATTCCCTTATAGGAGTGAAGGTCATCATGAGCATCAAGACACTCAGAGTTTCAAGTGAAAGTGATTGAACTTCTAATCTTCCCCATCTAATAAAGAACCCTATTCCTTTAAAAAGTATAAAAATGTACTGTAATTCAATTTGAGATCTTTATCAGAAAAAAAATAGTACAATGTCACAATGGATGCTAAGTATTTTGAAAACATAAGTGCAGCCAGATTAATAATTAATCCAACTGCATATGTTTCATTTTGCCAATGCCAAGTGGATTAAAACTGAAAAAAAATTACAAAATGTTGTTACACGTACACTACCATATATTTACCTATCACCAACAGGGTCACTTCCATAGGAATTAACTCTGGGTATGATGAACTTGTCACATTTTCCTCAGCCATTTCTACAGTAGCTTCAGTGACAGCTTGAGTTGTAAAATTCACATCTATTAGAAATAAGAAAAATATGATTTTGTTAGTCTCCATACCACCTGCTAAGATATACCAGCTAACTCTGTGAAAAACTGGTTTGTATCAGCTAGCACAATACACTGTCTACTACTTAATACACTATGAAGAGGCAGACAGAATGATTAAAAATAGATGTGGGGCAGCTAGGTGGTACAATGGATAGAGCTCTGGCCTTGGAGTCAGGAGGACCTGAGTTCAAATGAGGCCTCAGCACTTGACACTTACTAGCTGTGTAACCCTGGGCAAGTTACTTAATCCCAAATGCCTCACTAAAAAAAATAAGAAATAGCTGTGTTTCTAACAGGTTGTTTTGGGGTTTGTTTTTTTTTGTCTAATTCACAGTTAATAAAAATATTTTTAAAATAAACTATTTTCCTTTAAAAATGATATATAACTCATCTTAAATAATAACCCTAAATTTTTTTTCAGGACTCCATGTAGTTGTTTCTTTTATTTTTAAATCTTATTGCCTCAATGTAGCTAAGGGTATGCTGATAAATGTTTAACAACTAACTCTATTAAATGAAAATGGTCCAACAAACTTTTAAGTTTAATCTGCATTATTAACATTTTTTCCATCACTTTCTGAAATCTAGACAATGAGCAAAAAAAAAAAACCTATATCATGTATATGCATATCAAGCCATGATTTGCAGCATTTGCCTATTTCCCAAGGTTTAAATGCTCACATCACAAATTTAACAATTGGCTTGGTTACAGCTGGCTCCAGCACAAACCTGAACATAACCTACAAACTCAGAATGACAAAGCACATTCAGATAATGTTAGGAAGAAAGCAATGAGGGACAGGAGAGAATAAAGAAAATTATAACAGGTAGAAACATTGAGAAGCCAAAGAGAGGAGAGGGATTAGAGGTCAAATACAAAGTAGAAAAGACTAGCAGAGATATCAAACTCCAGCCTAATCAAATTAAAATGTAGTTGGGAAATGTTTAACAACACCAAAAAAAAAAAAATTCTATATTCCCCAGTTGATAAATGATCAAAGGATATGAACAGACAGTTTGCAGATGAAAAAATTAAAGCTATATATAATCATATAAAAAATGCTTTAAATCACTATTGATTATACAGAAATGCACGTTAAAATAACTCTGAGGTACCACCTCACACCTGTAAGATTGGCTAATATGACAGAAAAGGAAAACGATAAATGTTGGAGAAGATGAGGGAAAATTGGAACATTAACGCATTGTGGGGGGAATTGAGAAGTTATCTGACCATTCTAGAGGGCAATTTGGAACTATGCCCAAAGAACAATCAAATTGTGGGTACCCTTTGATGCAGCAATATCACTGCTAGTTCTATATCCCAAAGAGATCATAAAAGGGGGGAAAGGACCCACATGCACAAAAACATTTACAGTAGCTCTTTTTGTGGTGGCCAAGAATTGGAAGTTGAGGGGATTCCCATCAATTGGGCAATGGCTGAACAAGTTGTGGTATATGAATTTAATGGAATACTGTTGTGCAGGAGAAGTTTATAACCCCAGGGTGAAGGTCTGTCCAGAGCCCATACAACATAATGACAGCAATAGCAGCTTCAGGAGCTCTCAGCCCAGAGATGGTAAGGGGGCTGGACAACTGCTCAAAAAGAGATTATAGTTGATGGCTCTGGGTACAGCTGGTGCTGATTGGCAACCCTATTGTCGATAAGCAGTTCTGTATTACAGTTCCAAAGCAGGGAGAAATGCTTGTGATTGGTCACAAGGGAGCAGGGCCCTGGTCACAGTACCAAAGCAGAGAGGAGCACTAACAAGTACAGCTACAGGAGACTGGGAATGCTTCTTGGTAAAGCCAAGAGTACAGACCAAGACCTCTCCTAGGATCATGCCACCTTGGAAACACCAAAAACTTGCAGACCCCCCAGAACTAGCATAGCAGCACAAAAAAGCCTAAAGCTTGGCATAGTGCCTACCCACTCTGAGATGAGCAGTGCTCAATTTAACATAAAGTTCAAAGTCAAGAAATAGGCAGGGAGGGCAGCTAGGTGGCACAGTGGATAGAGCACCAGCCCTAGAATGATGAGGACTCAAGTTCAAATCCAGACTCAGACCAGACACTTGAAATTAGTTGTGTGACCCCAGGCAAGTCACAACCCCAATTGCCTCCAAAAAGAAAAAGAAATAGGCAGGAAAAAAATGAACAAACAACAACAAATTTAACCATAAAAAGCTATTACGGTAGCAGGGAATACCAAAACCAAGACATAAACTCAGAAGAAGACAACAATGTGTAAATAGCTACAAACAAATCCTCAAAGAAAAATGCTAATTGAGCCCAAGGCCAACAAAAATTCCTGGAAGAATTAGAGAAATAAGAATAGTAGAGGGAAAAGTGGGGGGGGGGGGAGTAGTGATACAAGAAAAAAATTTTTTTTGTCTTTAAGTGAGGCAATCAGGGTTAAGTGACTTGTCCAGGGTCACACAGTTAATGTGTCAAATGTCTGAGGCCAGATTTGAACTCAGGTCCTCCTGACTCCAAGGCTGGAGCTCTATCCACTGCACCACCTAGCTGCCCCAATACAAGAAAATTATGAAAAAAAAGAAATAGTTTGGTAAAAGAGGCATGGAGGGTAGAGTCAAGATGGCAGAGAATAGATATGGAGCTTTCCCAAATTGCCCTCCAAACAACTTTAAATTATGCTTCAAAACAAATTCTGGAGCAGCAGAACCCATACAAGGACAAGATAAAACAATTTTCCAGCACAAGACAAGTTAGAAGGTTGGCAGGAAAGGTCTATTATATCAGGGTTAGTGCAGAACAGGCTGTGCCAGCACAGACCATGCCCCAACAAACCAGAAACTGGCCCTGAGGTGACTCAATCAACCACAGCAGCAGCAGCAGCAGCAGCTTCTAGAGCTCTCAGCTCACAATTGGTAAGTGGGTTAGACATCTGATTAGAAATTTATAGCAGTCCTTTTACTGGCACTGGGTGCAGGACTCTGTTGCATTGCTCATGGTCAGAGCCAGGTTGCAGTCCTGAGTCACAGTCCCAGGGTGAGGAGGAGCACTAGCACACCACAGCTTATGACCCAGGGGAACAGGGACCGTGATCACAGTTCCACAGCAGAAAAGAAAGCTTGTGATCTCTCACAGACTAGAGCACAATTCAGGAGAGTAGTAAACCTACCTCTCCTTAGATCATACTACCTTTGAAGAACTAAAAGCTTATAGACCCCCAGAATTAGCTACTCAAAAAAGCTGAAGCATGGCACAGGGCCCCTTCCAGCCCAGGAGCAAAGTCCTACTTTAATATAAAGTTAAAAGTCAAGAAATAGGTAGGGAAAATGAGCAAACAACAACAACAAAAAAGATCCTGACCATAGAAAGGTACTATGGTGACAGGAAAGATCAAAACACAAACTAAGAAGACAATGAAGTCAAAACTGCTACATTTAAAGCCTCGAAGAAAACCATGAGTTGATCTCAGCCCCCACCAAAAAAAAAAATTCCTAAAATACCTAAAAAATGATTTAACAATAAAATAAGAAATGTAAAAGGAAAATTAGGAAAAGAAAAAAGTCAACAACTTGGTAAAGGAGGCACAAAAAATACTAAAGAAAATAACACCTTAAAAAACAGAATAGGCTAAATAGCAAAAGAGGCATAAAAATCCACTGAAAAGAGGATGTCCTTAAAAAGCAGAATGGGCCCTGTGAAAAAATGATGTACAAAAATTTATCGAACAAAAGAACTCCTTAAAAAGCAGAATTGCCAAATAGAAAAATAGGTACAAAATTTCAACGAAGAAAATAATTCCTTAAAAATTAGAATTGAGCAAGTGGAAGGTAATGACTCCATGAGACATCAAGAATAAAACAAAAATCAAAAGAATGAAAAAATAGAAGAAAATGTAAAACATTTCATTGGAAAAATAACTGACCTGGAAACTAAATGCAGGACAGATAACTTAAGAATTATTGGTCTACTTGAAAGCCATGATCAAAAACAGCCTAAACATCATCTTCCAAATAATTATCAAGGAAAACTGCCCTGAGATTTTTAGAATCAGAGGATAAAATAGAAATTGAAAGAATCCAACAATCATCTTTTGAAAGAGATCCCAAAATGAAAACTCCCAAAAATATTATAGCCAAATTATATCAGAGCTCTCAGGTCAAGGAGGAAATATTACAAGTACCAATAAAGAAACAATCAAAAAATCATGGAGTCACAATCAGGATAACATAAGATTTAATAGCTTCTACATGAAAAAATAAGAGGACTTGGGATATGATATTCAGGAGGGCAAAGAGCTGGGATTACAACCAAGTATTACATACCTAGCAAAATTGAGTTTAATCATTCAAGAGGGGAGGAGAGGGGAGAGAGATATTCAATTAAATAAAGGACTTCCAAGCATTCCTGATTTAAAAAGAAAAGACCAGAGCTGAGTAGAAAATTTGATTTCAAATACAAGACTCAAGAGAAGTATAAAAAGATAAACAATACAGAAAAATCACAAGGGATTCAATAAGGTTAAACTGTTTACATTCCCAGATGGGAGGAAGATAACTTGTAACTCCTAAGAACTTTTTCATTATTAGGATAGTTAAAGGAGTATACCTAAACAGAGGAAATGGGTGTGAGTTGAATATGATGGGATGATAATCTAAAAAAAAAAAAAAGAAATTAAGGAGTGGGAAGGAGGAATGCTTTGGACAAAGGGGTAAAAAAAGGTAGAATGGGGTAAATTATCTGACATAAATGAGGTATAAAAGAGCTTTTATAGTAGAGGGGAAGATACGGGAGGTAGAGAGGAGTGAATGAACCTCACTCTCATTGGAACTGGTTCAAAGAGGAACAACATACACACTCAGTTGGGTAAGTTGTATAGTATAGATACTATACAGCAAAGTAGGAAGGGAAGGAGATAAGAGAAAGGGGGGCAGGGGTGCTGATAGAAGGAAGTTCAGATTGGGGGAGGTAAAAGTCATAAGCAAAACACTTTC